AATGGTCAGCTTTTATACTATGAACACCTACGTGTATAACAATGCAAGAAAAAGCATTGGAATTTCTAACCAACACCTGCAACAATCTTGGCTGAGCATGCCGTAAGGTTCTTTTCTCATTTATTATGCATGCTGTATAATTGCCTGAATGAACCGTATTGCACTCCATTCCTTTACCTAAGAATCTAATTGTTACGCCATTGTGTACTCGGCATTGTTGTGTTTCATTATTGCCGTCAACAATCCGCTTTCGTTATTGCGGAAAGAGCTGAGCTGTGAACCGCTTGTAGAAGAAGTGCGTCGTAGACTAGACAAGTTTGTGCTGTTAAAAGCCTTTTAGAATATCACAAGTACTTTTCTTATATAAGAATTATTAAGAAATCCGCGATACTCTCCTCCAATCTCTCCAACTTATTTTTGATTAAATTGATCATCGTAGTCTCTTCCTATTGAACGAAGTTTGAGGTAAGTGATTTCTATTTATTATTGTTGTTATTAATCGCATTTACGTGATTTCTTCTGCATTCTTGAGAATTAGGCTTGTCTTCATTTTAGCACAACTTCAAGTAATATTAGATTGACTTCTGTTTGTTCACGGCAACTTCTGTGATAAAAGAATATTCCAGTAGGCAATTAATATTTTACAATTTTAAAGGAATAAAACGTGTTTCGTAGCCCAGGATCTTAATAAAAATATATGGTTGTTAAGAAGTGGGGTATATATTCTGAATAATAATTCTAAGAATTTACTTCTCTTGATACATCGACATTATTGAAGCGTTTAAGGGAACTGTGAAGAATTTTTATTTCGGTTTTACAAGCCAAATTATCGACGAATCTCCCTCTTATTTTCTCCCTACGACAGCAGATTGAATCCGGGGAATGCTTGATATTATTGAGTGCAAATTCTTATGTCCGCCCGTCTCATCCCAAAAGAAAATTAAGATTAAAATGAACCAAAGCGTAATTTTGTCAGTTGTGCCGTACGGGTGCAAAACGTGGTCTTTCACATTAAGGGAGGAACATGGACTGAGGGCCTCTGAGAACAGAGTGTTGAGAAAGATATTTGAACCCAAAACGGGAGTGGGACAGATAATAGAGAAAAGTGCATGACGAGTTCCACGGCCTGTGTTCCTCAACCGACGTTGTTAGGGTGAGGTGGGCAGTTATTGGTTGGGAGGCCTCAAGGGAGGAGACCTCTGGGAAGACCTCGGGAGGATAACATTAAAATGGACCTTAGGGAGATGGGGCTCGATGGAGCGAACTGGATGAAACTGGCTCAGGATAGACCCCGGAGGCGAGTTTTCTTTGAACACGATGATGAACCTTCTGGTTCTGTAAGGTGGGCAATTCTTTGAAAAGCCGAGTACCAGTCGACTTTGCATAGAACATCATGCACATTGCAGTGTGTGAGTAGCGTGATGTAGGCCTGATCTACGCATGCGTTAGAACAACGAACAGTTTTGTGATTGTTCCCAAATGTAATTCTCGCGTTCATTTGATAAATTTAAGTTATATTTTGTGCTTGTAGTGTATATAAAAGTGTAACTTAGGCAGGAAAGTCCTTAATGATGTAAGCTCTTAAGCACTTTTAGTTCTACAGAGAGAGAAGAACTCAAAAATTTTATGTTTATGAAAAGGCGTAGCCTTCTTTTTCCAGAATTTATTTGTTAACTGTCTCATTCTGCATCAAAGATCACGCAATTTCTATGATAATTTTGGTCGTATTTGTTTTAAATCAGTTCACCAGTATATAGGCATCTAAGACCTTATAGATTACATTGAAATTTTATAAGTAATATCTAAGTAGTTTACATATAAGAAGATTTAACTTTAGCGAATAATGAAAAAAAAACGCGGCATGACCTAAAATTGCCTATATCATTCACATAATCAGGGTGATTAAGCCAAGAATAGTGTGATGGGCGGGGCAAGAGGAGTGCATGGATGGGGCGAGAGGTGTGCACCGGGTATTTTTGGAAAGCCTGCGGAGAAGAGGCTACAGGGAAGACATGGAAGTAGATGGGAGGATAATATCAGGCGGGATCTAACGGAGATACGATTTGAAGGTACTCGTTTTTGTTGGCCCATGGCAGCGTCTGATGGAGGGTTTTGGTTAGTTTGGTTTTGAAACTTCGGGTTCCGTAAGCCGTCTAGGTAGTTAGTCAATTATATGTCACACTTCCAGCTTTGTCATATTGTGTTGGATCTCAACAGGCATTTCTATAACAAAGGAACAAACTGAGTCCATGGAGCCGAAGTCCTGCTTGAGAATCAAACAGTAGCCTAGGTAATCTAATGTCTCGCCTTTTATGAAACGTGAAGTTTCATGTCCGTATATACAATACCCCGCCTCTAAGCCACAAGCCACACCTTTATTCCCCACCTCTCCAAGATCCGTTTTAATATTATCCCAGCAACGCATAGGACTCTTCAGTGACCTTTTCGTTTCAGGTCTTCCGATTAAAAAGCTGCTCTTCTTGCCTCTGCCATTTGTTCTACATGCCCCGTCCATCTCATAACCCTTGATCTGACAGCCTACAATTTATTAATTAGTGAAGAGACCTATAAAGCTCCATATTATGCAGTTTTCCCCATTCCCTTGTCAGTAACTCTCTCGCAGGACCAGATATTCTTCTCAATACCGTGTTCCTTCTCAGTCACTCTCAGTAGATGTGCACACGCGTCAGTATGAAGAAAAACCTGTAACAGCGATGGACTGTGTTTCAGGAGATGGAGTCAAACCAAAGTCGCAGCTGTTTTCTTGTCGGCGGCAGGTGCAAGTGCACCGAAGTATTGGTCCCTCTGAACGAGGTGAGGGAGAAGAACGTCTTGTGTGACGCGGTGTTGAGTTTGGACGACGGCGGAGTCTTTCCAGTCCACAGATTGATTCTGACAATGCGCAGTGCATATTTCAGGTTTGTTTATTAACCGACGTGTTTAATTAACACGTGAAATAAGGACACAAGAGACGTCAATTCGTATGTGAAATGTTATATTCCCTTTGTTGCAGAAACTTGTATTTTTATATGGCTATTTGTCTTTTGTTATTTGTTCATTGTCATAAAATCTCACGGCGGTGAGGAAGAAGAAGAAGAATGTCTTTTGGACGTTGCGCCGTAGAAACTGAGTGGCATTTCAGGCGTGCTTACTGCCTTCTTTCCATGATGGTGGAGGCAGTAATATCCTCTGAAACGTCCGATAACTTCTACGAGACACCACGACGCAACATCCTAGAAGACGTACGTACACACATCTTTCTGCACACAGCAAAACCTCTGTCAACTGAGCCTCGATTATCCGATTCCCGCATTAAACGACTGAATTTCAACCACATCGGTTGCGATCGGTTTCCACCGCCGAGTGTGTTTAAAGCGATGTCCACGCGGTACAGTTCATTGATCTAACCTCACACCCATATTTTGCTGAGTATTATGATCACTTCTGGACATTTAGAGAATTGGTTATTATCGGGAAAAGACAAGAAACAACCCGCTGGTCCCCGTGGATGCTGAACCCTTACTCCTTCTTGTTCATTACAACATAGCAAGCAAATCAACGATAACTAATTCAAGTTAAATATGCAAAGTCTTATTCACTATTTTAATACAGGGACTCCCATGAACATCGCTCACGAGTGACTTTTGCCGGCAGCAGCCGAGTGCCGGGTAGGAGATTAAAGCCTGTGACTGAGGACTGGACAAATTATAATGCGTTGGCGCGTTATTATTAACGTCTCTGTAATTTAAATGTTCTAATTTAAATGCTTATGTTTTGATCGTCATTATGACCAGCAGATGACTAATTTCGCCATGTAGAATGTTAACCACGACCTATTGCAGGGTCATACTTAAATCTGTCTTCCTCTCGAATTCCTATTCTTCTTTCTGTCTTTCTTTCTTTCTTTCTTTCTTTCTTTCTTTCTTTCTTTCTTTCTTTCTTTCTTTCTTTCTTTCTTTCTTTCTTTCTTTCTTTCTTTCTTTCTTTCTTTCTTTCTTTCTTTCTTTCTTTCTTTCTTTCTTTCTTTCTTTCTCTGCGGAATTCCTTGCTTCTTACATAATCCTCCCAATATCAAAATCAACATTCAGACACACATCTTTCTGCACACAGCAAAACCTCTGTCAACTGAGCCTCGATTATCCGATTCCCGCATTAAACGACTGAATTTCAACCACATCGGTTGCGATCGGTTTCCACCGCCGAGTGTGTTTAAAGCGATGTCCACGCGGTACAGTTCATTGATCTAACCTCACACCCATATTTTGCTGAGTATTATGATCACTTCTGGACATTTAGAGAATTGGTTATTATCGGGAAAAGACAAGAAACAACCCGCTGGTCCCCGTGGATGCTGAACCCTTACTCCTTCTTGTTCATTACAACATAGCAAGCAAATCAACCTCCAGTTCATGCGATGGACAGAATGACTGATATATTCACTATTTTAATACAGGGACTCCCATGAACATCGCTCACGAGTGACTTTTGCCGTCGGATTGTGCGTGCGAAACGCCCGCATCATCCGCCGACGAGGAAAATCTGTATTGAGTCTTTACTTATTTGTTCATATCCATGACCACGTTCCCCTTTCCCTCGCTCATTCGACCCGTGGTTCCCCCCATTTAGTCCGGTTACACGAGGTTTCACGGGATTAACACACGCAGTTACCAAAACGTCGTTTCGCCAAGCTTAATGCCAGAATACAAAATTCTACACTTGTCATCTCACTGCCTTCTTCACTTGCGTACACCGTGCCATTGTTTCAACCTATAACCTTATCACGCGGACGAGCGGGTATTGCCTGGGAACCTTCAGAGCCGAAAACTTTCTATTTTGCCACGGTTAAACGGAGCGTCTCTCATCGTTGCCTCTCCACGTGTCTGCACTCAGTCTCGCTCATTCGGGCTCCAAAGGGCTAAGGTAAAAACTTCAGGCGAAATACTGTGGTGTGGTAACACTTCAGACTTCAGTTCTTTCTGCAGTGGTTCAATGTGTCGGAGTTCGAAGAAGATCGATTCTGAGTCGGCTTTTACTCTCGCTGTCGCAGGTTACAGTTATGCGCCGAACTTGAGACTCCCGCTCGTCGCTTCGTTCTGTTTAACTTCGTGGAAGTGTCTCAGCAGAGCAAAGAACTGCTAGAACTGCCTGTAGAGGAGCTGCAAGCGATAATCGAGTCTGATGAACTGAACGTGAAGGACGAGAAAGTTGTGTGGGAGTGCATTCTCCGGTGGATCAACCACGACCAGGACAACAGGAAAGGCCAAATCGCGGGCCTTTTGAAGGGCGTCAGACTGGGACTTCTTGACGCAAAGTTTTTCAAGGAGAAGGTCAGTATGTCCCTGAAATCGTGGATGTTTATTGGAAGTAAAACCCGCATTTTCAATTCCATATTCACACGTGTTCATAACCAATTAATGCAAATCGTGAGCCTTTTTCTTCGTCACATGTAAGCCTGTCAGTCTGTCTGTCCGCAGTTCCAGCTCGAGAACGTCTAACCGGATGTTCATTAGATTTAATGCTGATGAGCTTTAACAGAATCTGTCGACACATTCCAATTCTGGTTAAAATCTTACAATAACTAAGTGAAAATTACGCAATGTTTTCAATGCCTTATCCCGCGCAAAAGTTCCTGTGTAAGAAATCCACAGATTGCCTTAGTTTCCATGGTTACAATAACTACCTGTGGAATGCCGCTGGTAACACACTCGCATATGTGTGTGTATGTGCAAAACAAATATTTTATTCGTCCTTTTTATGTGATTGGAGTCTTTTATTCACCGTCTGCAAGTTTGACAGTCCGTCTGCGCCACAATCTTTTATTACTCTCTCAGCGTTTATTAAGATTGATTATGTGTTTCAGTTGAACAACAGCATTCCACATACAAACGTCCACTCAGCTTGAATAGGAAAATCCTCCAACTGATAAATCACGTCTTCTGACGTAGCATTCTACTTAGCCAAAGATCCTACTGCCATAAGAAGCGTGTCTTAGCTGCTATAATAATTTCACGTATCTACGACGAAGTATACAATCAACACGAGATAACTTCAGTATGATAATCCTCAGCTGATTGACCACATAGGGACAAAAGATAAACGAAACGTAAAGCAAGAAAGCTTCGTTCTCCATCCAAGAGTAAATTACCCGAGGGGCTTCAAACTCATAGACAGCTTTAACATTCTAATATTTTAGCAATCATCTCACTAAGCAGCCATACAACTTATGATATTCCTTCTTCATTTCATCAAGTGCTTTAACCCGAGAGAAAAATTGTTTCTATTCTAGGTCAAATGCCCTGTGATTTCAGCCACTCACCCCTTACGAATATTCGTGAAACAATCTCACGGATCCATGAATACGTTAACTGCTTCAAATGTCTTTACAACTTATCATTCGTATTTAGTAGTTTCGAACACTTAAAGGGAACGACCTGATGATGACCAATTAAGGTCGAAACGTGCAATGGATCTTAATATACATTAAGCCCATAATCACACGCTGTTGTGTTGACTGGCCTTCCACTCAACCGTCAACATGTAGCAGGTTGCCTCCCTTGACACTCGAAGCAACTAATTGTCATAACTTTCTTTAGATGCTACGTAATTTTGACGATTAATTAAAGTTATCGAATCAAAAAGAGTGTGGTGATCGCAGCGTGCATCTCGCACGGGAGAGACGAGAAATAAGTTACATTTTTCAATGTAACTTAAAATGCAAGCCTTACTGAAGTATTTAACTTTCGGTTGAAACACATTTCACTACATTTCTCTAAGATCGATTTAACTTTGATCTTGCTTCTCTCCTCAACCTGTGCATTTGCTAAGAGCGTCAAAAAGTCGTTACATAAATCAAAAAACATATTTTCCTGCATATACCATAGTCTATTTCGGTGAGTTCCCATCCAAATTAAGTGTGAATTTCTTGTCTCTTCTGCAATGATATATGCCATCCCTTCGTAAAAGTTGATAAGGTCCACATTGAACTGTTGAACAGGTATCAAATAATCCGTACGTGACGGAAACTGAGGAGTGCAAACCCGTGATCTCGGAGACGCTCGCGTTTCTGCACGACGTGGAAAGGTTGACGAAGGAAGACAAGAACTTCGTGACACCAAGAATTGCCCGCCCGCGAATCCCACAGGACATTATTTTTGCTATTGGTGGGCTTTATAAAAAATGGGTGACAGATGTGATCGAAGCGTACGACGCACGAGCAGACCGATGGAGTATGGTGAGTTGCTCAAAATTCGACTCTTAACGTGCCTTGTTAAATGACGCCTCCGAGAAAAACTACTTTTCCTGTTTTTTCCTTATTTTTTCTAAATAATTGTTTATTTAAGTTTAATCACAAGCACCTCGTTGCCTGTTTATTTCGTGTTCGTTTATTTCCATTGCGGTTAAACATTTTTTAAGAGAAGCTCCAAAAAATATGAATTAAAAATAATAAATAAATAATTTACACAGGTTTTAAGACTCGTGTACAATGTAAGTTCTAATAGGAATCGACGAAGGATTTGAAGTTTATAATGTAAGACTTGAGGTTCTCACAGCGATGAGTATGAAGATTTCTGTCTTCTGGGTTGTTGCGCCGTGTAGACTGGTCGATGTTAACCAACGTTTCAGAGGTCATACTGCCTCCATCATCAGGGCGATGAGTATGAAGATTTCTGTCTTCTGGGTTGTTGCGCCGTGTAGACTGGTCGATGTTAACCAACGTTTCAGAGGTCATACTGCCTCCATCATCAGGGCGATGAGTATGAAGATTTCTGTCTTCTGGGTTGTTGCGCCGTGTAGACTGGTCGATGTTAACCAACGTTTCGGAGCTCATACTGCCTCCATCATCAGGGCGATGAGTGTGAATATTTCTGTCTTCTGGGTTGTTGCGCTGTGTAGTCTGGTCGATGTTAACCAACGTTTCAGAGGTCATACTGCCTCCGTCATCATGGCGAAGATCTTATTGTAGTTTGCCTTAAATACGGTTTACAATAAGCGTCCTACATCAACTATCATGGCAACCTGTCTGCTGATTTTAGACATGAAACGAAGTCATCGTTGATCGTCAGTGGATTTCAACGGAATAAATACAGTAGTAATCAATGTCGTTGTTGGCCATCTGGGTGGTAACGCCTCGTGAATTAGAAGGCTGACACGCTGTTTGGGGTGGGGGACATAATGCCTCCATCTTTGCGTCGATGAAACCCAAAACACCAACATCTGTCTTTACCAAATTACGAACCTGTAATGTGAGCTGTTGATCAGAAATTAATTCTACATTTGTCTGTCGTACTTGACGAGAGCTTCTCTTCGGGTCTTCCTGTTTACTCCGGCTCTCATAATTCCACCTTTGCTCTAAGTTAATTTCTCACGGTCTTTGTCGTGTGCCACCCACCACGCTGTAACAATTTCGGTCCACTGTTGGGGGTTGCACCTCTGCTCCGGTGGTTGGTCGCTTGGACTCTAATGTAGAGACTTCATATCCGTAGACCAAATTACCCAAAGAAACATAAAGTCATAATCTGTCGTTCCTGCAGGTGGAGGGTGTCAAGTGTATCGGTCCGCGGGTCTGCCATGGCACGACAGTAGTCGGTTTCGACATTTACGTCATCGGTGGTACCGACGACGGATTTGGTGGTTTAAGCTCATGTTTCTGCTTTAACTCTGTTACGAAGACATGCCGCAATTTGGCGCCTATGTATGATTGCAGGTAAGATGCAGCTTGGTAGCTAAGGGACTCCTTGAAATAGTCCTTTTTCAAAAGCTGATAGTCGCTCCGTTAGTCAAGATATAAATGTGGGCAGGGGTTGCAAAATTCAGGCTGGGGGTTGGTCGCAAGGCTAAAAACCTTGCACCATAAAAAGGAAAATGTTTCGAAACCTCAATCAATCTCGGACAGACGGACCTAACAGAGGCAGCGGAGGATAGGGCCGAATGGAAGAGGAGAATTGATGAGGCCATGGACCGAATACGGACCGGAGGGCCATGGAAGAAGAAGAAGAAGAAGAAGAAGGGGATTCAAAATTGTACCACTCACATACGGGAGTATTGTGCAAAGTGTGAATAGCTTGAGGACTTTTGCGACAATGTTGGTTTTAAGAATACGATTTGCTTGGTAATACATTTGATTTATGATTTAACAATGACGAGCGAACAATTGCGTTCTGCGAGAGGAAATGCATCTGAATCATCAATAAATGAGCATAGCAGAGCGTGTACTTTTTTTTCGTTTCAGATCCGCTTTAATGGTGGCAGTTCTGCGAGGTGCAGTGTACGCCATCGGCGGTTGCGATGGACGTAGGTATCACAGCACGGTTGAAAGATACGACTGCAAGACGAACCAGTGGTCTTTGGTAGCTCCCATGAACAGAAGACGACGCGGTGCAAGTGCGGCTGTGCTGAATGGTAAGTAAATCCTCTTAAACAGTAGTGTATGAATTAGTGCAGAAGGCGAGGCATCTGTCTGTCTGTCTGTCTGTTTGTAACAACGCAAGAACGGTTGAAGGAATCGTAGGATTTTGGTTTCTCGCGGTGGTTAGTACGAAGATGGCTGTCGTTTGGCTTCTGCCGACGTTTCAGACGAAATTTATGACTTCATCATCAAGGCATATTCCTCTTCACTCTTAAACTTAGTGTCCCTCACTCCACTGTCCCATATCTTTTATTATCTCTTTCATTTATCCGTGATACGTACTACGTTATTTCTCAGACTGCAACGGCTTGAATTTCTGAGTGCGTGATGGTTTCTTCTGCTCTTGTAAGTTGTCGCTGTACATCGTCTTCTGCCTTTGTAGTGTACTCTAGGAGTGAGTACAAACAACAGTAACAGAAATGAATTACATACGTCATGAACTGATGCACTCACATTTCATCAGGACCTTCTCTTCACTTCACTACACTTACGAAGCCTTCCCATCCTCACCCTGATTTACCTCCCTTAATCTCACTTTCCTTCACTTTACCTCATTTATCACTTTTCTAACCTTCTTCCTAAAAGAACTTGGTTTACAGGAGAGAGTCCCTAAAACCTCAGCAGGTAGCCGGTTCCAGAGTTGGATGGTCCTATTTACAAAGGAATATTTTCCTATATCTGTCCTTTGCTTTCTGCTCCTAATTTTCCGAATATGATCGACCCTGCTCAGGTAGTATGGCCTTTGCCTTCCATGCCCGTTCTCCCGTGTACGCTTTGAAGAGAGCACATATACGTGCTATCTTTCTACGCTGTGCCAGGGTTTCCCAGTTTGAGTCGCTCCTATGATATGCAAATCTTTTGCACCCGTTCTAACGCATTTATCTGCCCCTCCCTGTAAGGATCCCAGCACGCCGCCCCATATTCCAGAATCGGACGC